AAAAAAAAAAACCCCCCCAAAAAAAAAAAAAAAAAAAAAAAAAAAAGTTTACATTCACTAGCAATTAACAAAATACAAAAACATGAATAAAAAGTCCAGTAAAATACAAAGATTCTCATAGTGTTAGTGAGAATGCCAATTGGTACAAAGTTTTTACAGGGCTGTAAGGATCCAAAGTCTAAAATGTATAAACTTCTTGATCCAACAAATCAACTAAAGGAGCTTACCCAAAGATAACGATTAAAGATGTATACCAAAGAAATTACTAAGAAGAATATTTTCCCTTTATTTTCTGTAATTTTGAAATCAGGAATAATTTAAACGTTCTTTAAGAAGGAATTGGTTTAATAAGCCATGCATTCTCAATAAAAGAATTATACAACTCTTTTAAAATGATGGTACAAACCTATGTTCATTTACATGTTAATATATTGATAACATAATTTAAAAAGCAGATTCAACACATATAGTCCTCTTTTTTTATATTAAAAACTAGATATATCATGTGCTTACAGCATGCCTAGAAACAGTCCTAGAAGTGATGGTAGCAGTGGCCCATCTGGAATGGCTACTGCAAAGACACCAGATGCAGCGGGGTGGCACAGCCACAGCCAAGGGAAGTCGGAAAAAGGTGGAAGTCCCACCCACTTCCTAGTTGTCAGAGTGAGAGCCTCACACTGCTGGGCGCAGCTGCAGCAGCCCAGCCGTGGCTCAGGACCCAGACATCACTTGGGGGCCAGAGGCAGGCAGGAATCCCGCCCTCCTGGGCACAGCTGCAGCCACTTAATTGCAGCTGCAGACCCAGGCATCTCTGCACTCTCAGTGGCCTGGGTAGCTCCCTGCCCCTGCAGGCTCAAAAGTGCCTTCTCCCACTGCCTGGCTTCTCCCCATTATAGGCACCTGCTCTGCCCTTGGAGAAAAGTTGAGGCCAAGCCTTGGCGCTGTCACAACCCAGCTGGGTGTGTGTGTGCATGCTCAGGGCAGTGCTGACATGCTAGCCCCCTGCTGCTTCAGCCCCCTCTGGACTTTGGGTACCAATGAGCACAGAAGGGAGAATAAGTGGGGGATGAGGGCAGCCTGACGCTGGCCTGCAGGAAGCCCTCAGCACGAACAGCCTGGATGCCATAAACAGTGGCAGGAGGCAGACAGGCTCCTGGTTCAAAATGGGCAGTCACCAGTGAAACCCCATCCTCAAGCCAGGGAGGCCCTGAAGCCTGAGGGGGCAGGCTGCCAGTTCCATGGACTGGAGTGGGAACTTATGATGCTTTCTCTGGGCCTGCCCATAATCACCCATGGACCAATCAGCACACACTTCCTTCCCTCTGAAGCCCATAAAAACTGAGGGCTCAGCCAGACTTGGACAGATGTCAGGATGACCTGCCTGCAGAGAAGAGCTACCCCATGTGGGTCTCCTCTCTGCTGACAGCTGAACACTTGTCAGGACACCCTGCCTGCAGAGAGAAGCTACTCATTGTGTGTCTCCTCTCTGCTAAGGGCTGAACACTCATTGGGGTGCCCTGCCTGTGGAGAGGAACTACCTACTGTGGGCTCTCTGCTGAGAGCTGTATGCTCATCAGGATGGCCTACCTGTGGAAAGGAGCTAACCAGTATGGGTCTCTTCTGAGCTATTTTGTCACTCAATAAAGCATCTCTTCACTTTGCTCACCCTCCACTTGTCCATGTACCTCATTCTTCCTGGATATGCGACAGAAACTCAGGACCCGCCAAATGGTGGGGCTGAAAGAGCTATAACACAAACAGGGCTGAAACATGCTCCTTGTTCACCCCATGGCAGCCAATGAGAGGCAAAGAGAGGAGAGGGAAGGATAGAAGAGCTATGGCCCTTCAAAGAGCCCAGACCTAGGAGCCCCCTGAGACAGGGCTGTGACATACTCTTTCGGGCTCTGCAGTCCCTGGTGTCCCAAGCTTCTGGGCACCACCACATTCCCTGGCACTAGCAGTGAAAGCTGCTTGTGGTATACCTGGTCCAGCCACAGCCTTGCAGGGAGCCAATGCCTGGAGCTGCCCATCCTGCCACAGCTGGTATGCCTGGCTGTACACAGTGGCCAGACCCCACTCACTCGTTCACACACCCACCATTCTGTGCCTGGCTTGCTATTGGCAAGCATAGGATCCAGACCAGTAGTGTGAGCCAAGTGCAGCCTGCCAGGCCAAGTGGGCTGAATAAGCCCAGTGGGCCCAAGCAAAACTCGGGCAAAGACACTGCCAACCAGCAGTTTCTGGCTAAAAAAGGGACACCCCAAGAATCCCATGACAGAAGGATGAATATGAAGATGTTAAAAGTGTCAGAAATGATATGTATTTAATACACACAGCACACTTTTTTTTTTTTAAGAAATAGGGTCTTTCTTTGTCACCCAAGCTAGAGTGCAGTGGTGGGATGATAACTCACTGTAACCCAAACTCCTGGGCTCACGCAATTCTCCCACTTCAGCCTCCTGAGTAGCTAGAACTACAAGTGTGTGCTACCATGCCTAGCTAATTTTTTAATTTTTTGTAGAGATGAGGTCTTGCTATGTTGCCCAGGCTGGTTTCCAACTCTTGGCCTCAAGCCTTGTTCTCTCAAAGTGCTGGGATTACAGGTGTGTACTACCATGCCCAGCTCTAGCATACATTTTTTATACTTCTGTAATGAATATTTTTTAATAAAAAATAAGTTCCTAATTACTTGAATTGTCTATTCACAATTGTAATTTTAAAAGAAGCATTTATTTCAGAAAATTTTTTAAAATTGAATGCTCACTGCATCATACTTTACTTTCTTTTGTGAAGATCCAGAATTTTTAATTTGGTTTTGTCATTACAGAATTCAATGCTTTTCCTTTTAACAGTGCTTCATAACTAAAGAATGCAGTAAGGCTCCTTTCATAGAAGCAGTGGATTACTGCTAATAGCAATGAGCTTCAGCTCTGTAACACTAGCATAAGAAAGTGTAATCAGAAATGATCAGGAAATCCTTTAGTGAAAAGACATTCACTAAATTAAGAAGTATTTGAGATGGACTATAGTTGGAATTCCTAAAAATGACCTTGAAAACAAGTGGGAACCAGAATTGAAGATGAAAAGTTTATCCCATCATACACAGACCTCCGACTCTTCAGATGTTAAAACTTTTAAGTTTTTAAAACATTTGGACTGAACAACTATCTTCAACTTTTTTCAAACAGTTAAATAAGCTATGAGTATCATTACTTACTGTGCTTTAATTAAATATGCACTAATGTTAAGAAATATATTAACATGTTCTTTAAGTTTTTTCCTGAGTTCCATTGTAGCCACATGTATTAAAAGAGTATCAACTTTGGTAAAATTTTCACGAAAGCAAACAATGTAAATTAAGATAGCTTCAGAGGATACTATATATTGAAAAGTTAAAAATTTAAGTTACAAATAAAATATGCTAAGTAATTGTTAATGCAAATAAGTATATTAGTATGACCCCTTACAATCTGTATCCCTTAAATATCTCCAAAATGATTAAAATAAATTACATGCCTTGGCAGTGTTAAATGTAGCTATCAAATATTTGCTTAACTCATAAAGTTCTTAATACTCCAGTAGCAAAAAGATCAAATTTCCTCCCCAAAACTGAATTTAGATTATTTTAATTGAAAAAAGAAAAATATGTTTTTCTCAATGTCCTGATAAAGAAAATTAAATAGGATAATGTAAACATTTAAAGGAGAATTCACAATATAGACAAAAGTTTTTAACTCCTGGGTGTTAACGATAAAGAACCAATATATTTCATTAAAGATTTAATATTCCTATTAACAAAGATACTGATGAAAATGTTGAAACTTTAGATATCAAAAGCAAAGCTCAACAGCTCCAGGAATAATGTTGGGAACATCACTTTAATAGTCTCAAATTAAAGTTCTTTTAAACTATTATGAAAAGATTGACAATAAGGGAACAACATTTATGGAGCACCTACTACACACCAGAGACTTTGAATTTTCATTTCTGTCCTTCACTCCTCACTATAATTCAATGCAGCAAATATCATTATTCTATTATACAGAAGAGGAAACTGAAGTTTAGAAAGGCAAACCGATTTGTACAAATTCACACAACTAATCACTGGAAAAGCTACAAATGGAACAAATGATACCTAATCACTAACTAGGGTATCCAGAGTTATATACTATTATTATACCAACTCCCAGCAAACTGGCACCATATCAGCTACAAAAGGTAGTGTGCACATAAAACATGACAGGTCATACCACTACTTAGCAGAACAATTTCAATCAGCCTCTTTAATTCTATATTGGAAAAAAAATATTTTCAGAAAAATGTAAAATCTCCTAAGGCAACAGAGTAGCAATGATAAAATCACCTAAGTAAATGGACTAAAATCATGGTAGAGCTGAAGACTTCATTTCCACAAGGCTTGTAAAATAATATTTGTATACGGACATCCCTCAGTATCCCCATAGAACTGGTTCCGGGACCTTCAAGGATACCAAAATCCATGGTACTCAAGTCCCTTACATAAAACAGCATAGTATTTGCATAAAACCTATGCGCACATCCTCTCATATGCTTTAGATCATTTTAGAATATTTCTGAATATCTAATACAATGTAAATACTATGTAAATTGTTGTTCTGCATTTTTTTGTATTATTTTCCTTGTGGTGGTGTTAATTTGTTTTTCCCAAATATTTTTGAGCTGCATTTGGTTGAATCTGTGGATACAAAACCAGTGGATATAGAGAGCTGACTGTATTTTAAGAGGTGGATACTGTGAAACATCTACAAAACAACATGTAGTCACTTGAAAAGTGGCATCCTTAAATAATGACCACAGTTGTGTCTTTATTAACTTCTACAATATTATGTCCAATGTTATTATAGTTATTATAAAGGCATATACTTAACGGGAGGGGGGATCTACCATCCAACTCTTAATTTTTAAAGGCTTCTAATCATTTTATAATAACCTCTATATACTAATCAATTATTATATAATAACTAGAAAAATATTTACCAGGTCCTCGATATTGCCATAGATATTCTTCTTCATGCCTGATGCCCGAGTAGATACCCATCCTCCTACAGTACTGAACTCCAGAGAATCTGGTTCATGACCTGTACAATAACCACTTTCTTTAAGCTGAAAAACAAAAAATTAACATTTTACAGTGAAAATGATCCCATTACATACAGCACTCAACACATTAACTCCTCCCACTTTAAAATTTCCATGTCACTGATATTTGAATTTATTAATTTCTACATAGCAAGAAAAGATACTTTCATCACACTAGTCCTTAAAAATTTTTGTAAGCTTTTGCCTAGTAGAAAATTTTAGAAAATTGAAGGATGTAGGCCAAAGTTTTATTTTTCACAGTTTCACCAATCATACTCCTTACATCCTTTTGTTTTGAGGCCAGCTGTCCTTCCCCACCTTTTTTTCCTACAAAGAGATAATTTACATATTTATGGAGATCATATTATGCTTAAATAACTACCAACTTCATCTAAACACTTTCAATAAATAAAGCACTTAATCTCTTGTTCTCTCTACCCTAATGTAATAGGCAGCAGGCCTGCAGAAACTCTGAGCAAATTGCCTGTACTTAATTCTCTCAAGGAGTCATGTGTTTTAATGTACAGGCATCTGGCCAGGTTTCCTCCATGTAATATTGTCATTTAATTGTGATGCAGATCATGCATTCCTGTACATTAAATAGTCACTTGCCTCTCATTTTTCTACATTAGCTTGGCTTTGCCATCTGCACAGCACCTGAAATTGAATAGATGCCCTTTACTGCAACACCACCAAAGCCATTCCAATGAAATCATTTTAAAGACTCAGCCATCTCTTGTCAAATGGTACAGACACCATCTGCGTACCCACTGTCTGATGCACTCAAGCCCATCAATCTGTGTTGATCATTTTGATAGTCATCCAGTTAAGCAATTGTTCTATTTTTCAAGTAAGCCACGCAGAGCTATGTCTGTATATGTGTATTTAAGTATAGTGTGAAAGTTGTACTCTGAAATATAAATATATTTTGTTAGGTTTAATATAATTTGTTAAATATAATTTATTAGGTTAAATATAATTTGTTAGGTTTTGCATATCAGCAATGCAAATTATCTATCTATTCTAATTTTGCTGCTAGGAAAACAAGATTTTAAAAGACATCAACTATTAAGATTTTTCCACTGAATATTCAAATATATTATTTAGTTTTAAGAGGCCAATATCCATCTACAAAAAAGAAGCTTAAATAAATGGCTGAAGAGATTAAAAATGAAAATTATCAAGACTGTTACATTAAATTTCTTCCCTAACTCCATCCCCAAACAAAATACTATGAATTATTATTTTCTCTTAAAACACTACCTTTACTCAATTTTCTTTTAGAACATAACCTTTTACTCAATTTTATGAAATTAGGAAAGGAAGAAAAGACATTCATAGAGCCCTAAGATGTAGCAGGTACTAAAGGGAGAGGTTTCACATACTCCCATGACAAAACAAACTTCTACATTATACAGAAGCAAATAATTAAGTATACACTTGAACTATTTCTATCAGTATATCCAATATTACATATACTATTAATTTGTTTCTTTTGTCTGGTATGTTACTTCATTACCTTCTCCAATTACAAGCAAGTACCATATGCTAGGAATTGTGTAAAGCAAAAGATAAAGACACCAAAAAAAACCAGATGGTCCCCATGCTGAAGGAGCTCTACCACACCAATTTAAATTTACTTCTTTGTTAAAAATCTTACTAACTTCCTACTAAATAAGTGAAGAAAGTGTAATGGTTAAAAGCCTGGGTTTTCTTGCCACAAAGTTTAAGAAAAAAAACCCCAAAATCCCTGGGTTTTATACTTGTCATTCACTGTTGCTAGAAAATTTGCATACCACAGTATACCACAGTATACAAATTTAGTGAGAAACAATTGCTGACGCATAGTAAGTGCTTAATAAATGGTATCTAAGATCATAAACATTTAGCCACTTTCTCCTTTAAAGGTCTGTATCACTGTTAATGCCATTATCTAGTAAGAAAAATTTGCTGAAGAAAAGTCCACAGATTTACACATACAATTAATCAAATATTCACTTCCCACGTTCTCCTAGAAAGGATCTCACTCTATCTCCCAAGCTGGAGTATAATGGCACAATCATGGCCTATTGAAGCCTCAAATCCTGGGCTCAAGCATTCCTCCTGCTTTGGCCTCCCAAAGTGCTGGACTTATAGGCATAAGCCACTGTGCCTGACTCAAAATTTCTTTTTTAGTAAAATAACATCTCTGCCCCATAATATGCTAGATAACAATAACTGTGATCATTAACCACTTACCATGTGCCATAAAGCAATACGGAAATAAAAGCTTTATCTCACTTGTGTTCCCATTCAATACTGAAACAACAAATATTTATTGACTACGTGCTGAGCTTCAGATATATCACTTTAAAAAAACCTAAACTATGGTTTTTATATTATAGAGAAATATTGAGAAAAATGTGTATGCTGCTAAAAAAAAAAAAAAAAAAAAAAAAAAAACCTAGAGAAATAGCAAAGGAAACTGAAATTAATAAGAAATATAATTAAATTATACAGAATAATTAGAAGTGTGATGAAAAAAATAAAAAGCAGAGCAGGAACTTTCCCTTCTACCCAAATTGAAGTAAAAGGGGCTAGGATTCACCTTCCTACTTAAAAAGACTAAAACACAGAAAAATGGAAGAAACAGGCCAGGCATAGTGGCTCACGCCTGTAATCCTAACAATTTAGGAGGTTGAGAGGGGAGGATCATTTGATGCCAGGAGCTCAAGACCAACCTGTGCAACACAGCAAGACCCCATCCCCATATTTTAAAGAAGAAAAAAGGTTTTCAAACACTGAACATGCAGTCAGGAAGGGCAGTGATCCCTATGAGAAAGTAAAAGACGGTGGTGAGCACTGTGATTTGACCCTAGCTTAGCACTCTATGGAAACAGAAACCAGGCAGAACTTGGCAAACACTGAGTTGAGACTGAGCATAGAGCTGTGGGCAATCAAGGAATTTAGAGTTCATAGGAAAAAGTGCAGAAAAAAGTAGCACAAAGAGAGATGCCTGGAGATTTGCAGAGGGTTCCCCTCAGGTCTTCAGCAGAGTACTGAAAAGTAAATGAAAAGTGAGTGAAATATCAAAGACCAGAGGAAAAAACAATCCAAATGGATTAGAGCACAGGTGTCCAACCTTTTGGCTTCCCTGGGCCACATTGGAAGAATAATTGTCTTGGGCCACCCATAAAATACACTAACACTAACAATAGCTGATGAGCTTAAAAAAGGTCTGTGCATAATTTTCATGATATCTGCCACCACATATAAGCAAAAGGGCTAGACATTCAAAGGGTTGGACACCAGTAGATTAGAGAACAGTGCCAGCACTCACAGAGGGCCAGAAACAGTACCTGTTTCCACCAGCCCAACTGAGAAAACTCTTAATTCACAGAGTATTAGGTAGGATACCCAAGAAAGTCACACCACAGTAGTGGAAAATAATTAGCCTCAGACTGAAAAAAAGCAAAAGATCATAAAAGCATGAACTAGAGGATCACTTGTTTCCAAATAAATGCATCCCAGAAAAAAAGCTGAAGAATATTTATAGAATTGAAAAACATAAAAATTCACAATGGTAATCATCTAATAAAAAATTACCATGTAAAATTTAAAAAAAATTAAAATTAAATACATATAAAATAAAAATAAACAAAAATTACCAAGCATACAAAGAAGCAGGAAAACACCCCGTAATCATTATGTAGTGAATAATCAAAACCGATCCAGAACTAACACAGATGTTAGAAATAGCTGACAACATTAAAACAGTTATTATAACTGTATTCCATATGTTCAACAAGTAGAGACATACAACATATTTATATTTATAAATTTATAAATTAAACATCTGGAGAAGAAAAATATAATATCTGAGATTAAAAATATACTTAGTAGAATAAAGAGCAGAAAAGATATAGCAAAATAAAACATTAGTGAACGTCAAGACATAGCAACAGGAACTAAAAGAAAAAAATGAAAAGAGTAGCAGTGAGCTGTGGAACTTCAAGCAGCCTAATAAGTGAGCAAACAGAGTCTCTAAAGGTTGGAGGAGAGGAAGGTTTGTTGCATAGCTGAAGAAGTAATGACCAAAGTTTTCCTAAATTTGATGAAAACTATAAAGCTTCATGTTAAAAAAACTAAACAAATCTTCAACAAAAGAAACACAGAGAAAAACTACACCAAGGTCCATGACAATCAAATTGCTCAAACCAGTAATAACGAGAAAATCTTAAAAGTAGCCAGGGGGGAACAATACATATTACATATACAGGAACAAAGATAATATCAGATTTCTCATGAAAAACAATGAAGTGAGATAACAGTGGAGCAACATCTTTATGTTGCTGAAAGAAAGACTATCAATCTACAATTTTATACTCACTTCAATATCTTTTTTTGAAAACAAAGATTTCTTCAGACAAAATTAGAAAGATTTCGCCAACAGCAGACCCCACAGTCATGTTAAAAGAAGTCCTTCAAGCAGAAGGCAAATAACATCAGACAAAATTAAGGGTATCAGAAAGGTTAATTAGGTGGGTAAATATATAAGGTGCTTTCATATTATTTAATTTTTTAAATGATACCACAAAATGTTACAGTATCACTCAAAGGAAGCTGTTATAAGTTAAAGATGTATACTACAAATCCTAAAACAAAACAAAAATTTAAAGCTACTAAAGAAACTAAAGAGATAAAATATATCGTTTTTAAAATTAAAAAAAAGGCAATGAAAGAGGAAAAGAACAAACACAGATGGGAAATACAGAAAATGAACAGCAAGAGGACAGATTTAAATTAAACCACAACAATAAATCACACTAAAGGTAAATGATCTAAATACCTCAATAAAAAGGTAGTGATTGTTTAGATTTTTTAAAAAGAACCAATTATATGCTGCCTATAAGAAAGACATTCTAAATATAAAGATACAAACTAATTAAAAGTAAAATAATGGAAAAAGCAAAAAGATATACCATGCTAAGAAAACAGCAACAGTATTTTAATATCAGAAAAAGCAGATTTCAGAGCAAAGCATG